ATTCCGGTGTATAGAGAGCTAAAGTCTGAATACTAAAAGATTTCTATTTATCAACAGCTTTATTTTTTTAATTTAAAGTTAATTCAAATTGAAATGAGCCTTTTAACCTTTAATTAGGACCATGCTTTCTTTGAAAAGTCAACCACATTAGTCAACTGGAGACAAAATTCACTTTGCAATTGAAAAGCTGTCTATTTCTTTCAACAGTCGCCACTATGGTTTACTAAGTGCATTTGTTTTCCTTTCACCATGGTAACTTTGACCCATTCTCTGTATCAGCATTGCTCAAAACCATCCATTACAACTTAGAGGAAAGTGTGCTATGTGCATTGGGAATGAGGCCAAGATTCTATCTTTCAGCTCCATTATAATTATCATTCATTGTATATGTAGTGTACATAATACCCTCTATTTTGTATGCGTGGTTTCATCGTTATTATTTTGAAGAGTTGGTAGTTATTTTATTCCCCTCCAGACCTGCAGCATTTAATTCCTGTATTACTGTGATAGTCATAATAAAAATGGTATCAGCAGGCATCCCAAATATTCCCAAGTCATTCACTATACACTGGTATTATTTTGATTTCCTTATACAATCTTATTCATCCTTTTAGTATTTCTCAGTGAACATTTAACATTTGGGAGGGGCTCATTTTGTTTGTTCCAGTCTGGATTTTCTTGGGGTTTTTCATTATGTTTTAGGACTTGCCTAAGATGGCAGCCAACATCTTTTGAGTGCTTATTAGAAAGTTAAAGGTTAGATTAACTAGAAAGAGACTAATAAAACTTGACTTCAGATAGGTAGGAGGGATATAAGTACTCCCTTTTACATTGCATTTTGAATGATATTTATATTTCTATTGTCCCTGAAAAATACCACAGCACTCTGCGTTTTAAAATAAAACAGAGAGGTGAGGATAGAAGATCACAGGCATAGATCTGACTTGAACAGAGCAAACTTTGTCAGTTGATCCCCCAATGATGCAGGCTAGTCCTGATCTGGTTTCCAAAATTTTCTGTAATTTTGGCTTGTATTGCTTTGTTTGTTCATCTATGGGTATATCTCATAGGTATGATGTCATTGGAGAACACCCTCTTGTAGTTGTGCTGTATGTTTTTCTGTTGTTCGGTAAATGAAACCCGGGACCGATGAATGTATAGGGACAGCAAGTAGAATAAGGGTTTGGGGGTGTGGGGGTAAAGTGGTTGTGGTGGGGTAAAAAAAAGGTGATCTCAGAGTCCACGTAAAAAAATAATATAAACTGATTATGGTGGCAATTGCACAATTCGACTTGATGTGATTGAACTATGCAGTGATATGATACATGTATTGTATTAGTCAAGGTTGACTAGAGAAACAAATTCATAAACATGCATATGTGTCTAGGAAAGACATTTATATAAAAAATAATTGTATATTGAGAAAACTTCCTAGCCCAGTTCTGATCAAGTCCATAAGTCCAATATTAACCCATATGTCCGATACCAATCTATAATTTCCTCTTCAGACTCACAAACACATGCAATGATGCCGAACGCAGGAAGATCATAGGCCAGTGGGTGGAAAGTCTTCTGGATCCAGTGGCAATGAAAGCATCTTGGTGCTGGTGTGGGTCTTCATGTGGCTTCTCCAGCTCCAGGGCTCTAGTGTAGCTCCATGAAGTTCGTTACCAGGAAGATGAAGCAGAGAGTGTCTGTGTGTATCTGGTTCCAGTCAGCTATTTATCTCCCTGGAGCCTCCAAATAAGGTCATTAATCTGTGACCTGATTGACAGGCTAGACTCCACCCCTTTGCAAATTTACAACATAATATGTAACTATCACATGTATTAAATCCAAATTCATAATAAATAAATAAAATAAAATGAATATTTTAATATACATTCAAGCTAAATGATTTGAAAACTTCTAAAGAATCTATCATATGTGCAAAAACAAGCAATTGTATAGTCTAATATAAAATGTTGATGTTATTGGCTAAGGTGAAAATGTAATAACAGGGAATGCTTTGTTAGCAGTCCCTTCATCCTTCAAACTCTTTAACCATGAAATCAATATATCTTTAATGTATGTAGGTGAAAGTTTAGTCATTATGTGCTTATTCAAGTCAGGCATACTATAGGAGTGGGTACAGTTACATTTTTTGTTTGTTTGAAATGAGAAATTATGCACCAAAGACATCTCAATTTTAGCTTTTTCTACCCCCCTTGGACATAACTTGGATCATCCATCCCTAGCTGCAATAGAAAATGAATATGGGAATAATTTTCTAGACAAGTTTCTAAACTAAATCAAGAACCTATTAGCAAGCAGGAAGGAATGGATGACTATTTGGAATGTAAGCCAAGTACCCACTTCAGCTCCCCAGTTTAACAGTTTTTCTTGTCCTGTTCTATATTCATCTATATACTCAACTATGGCCAACTCCTAACACTGGCTCATCGTCTTTCCCAAGTGGCAGTCATCTATGAAACATCTTGTAACTCCCCAATCGGAATAGAATATTTATGCTGCAGTAATATTTGTTTACATGTCAGCTGAGCTCTTTGGTCATCCATATTCTTTTGTTATGAACAGCACTGACGACATATGTATTTCCATGGCTAAAACCTGGCCAACTATTGTTATTGCTGTCAGTCACTGTGATGTAGGCTCTGACTTGTAACAAATTGACCTTTTGGAGATTGTGACTCCTAAGAAAATGATCTTATGTAGAAGGAAGCATTTTCCAGCTTGAATGATAATCCCAACATTTACGGTATAAGTGGCCAATAAATGCTCATTATTCATGGAAAAATAGAATGAAAAGATAATAGGATTTTCCCATGATTTTTAATACCTTCTTATATACATGTGGATGTATTTCTATTTGTCTGTTTTTAACTATTATTATTCATCTTTAAGAATATTATTTTGTTATAATTAGGTAAATGTTAGTGACAAGAGTGAGTCACATTCTTAACTCTTAGGTTTATTGATGGTAACTACCTTCAGGTTACTACTACTAGTTCTACTAAATTGTTAGCAAGTAATTATGTGGTGATGCCTGATACCATTAGTCATCTTCCTGACCAAAGACACAATAGAAGTTACTGGTTAAAATGGGAGAAAATGGTGCAGGAAAATCCAAATTCATAAAAAGATTAGACTTCCTAGACTAATGATGCCTAAAGAAATGCCTGGGACTATCGTCTTAAGATACCCTTTTATCCCAGGACTGAAGCCATTTCCAGAGGTCACCTTCCAGTCAACTAATAGATTGGCCTATAAAATAAGCAATAACACCCATGAGGAATGTGATCCTTTAGACAATCAGCTCTCCCAGACCAGTTGATCACCATTTACACAAAAGCAACCATGAGAAGGCATGGAGGCAGGGCATCCGGAGAGACTGAAGCAGGGCAGGCCAGGTGGAAATGAGCAGAGGGCACGCACACTCTGGGCATTGTAACCAATGCCGCAGAACCATTTGTGTATGCGTTGTTGAATGAGAATCTATGTCTGTGTAAAGTGTCACTGCTAAGGCATGATTTTAAATTTCACATAGTGTAGCCACTTATAAGATTAACAAAAGGCGATAGAGTGCTTAAAATCACCTATATATAAAAACGATGTAAAATCCATACAAGCCTCAAATTAAAACACACAAATTATTTTGCAAGGAAATCATATAACAAAGAATATTGTACCACAGAGATGCAATCTTTTATAAACTTAGAGTGGCCTCTTCCACATTAACAAATATTAAAAGATGAGTTGATTGGAAACCAGAAGTTAAGTGCCTATTTTGTTTATGTACTTTATATCATTTCCCCCGAGGCATTCTGACATGGAATGAGAGTGGGGGCTTCTGAATGAAGGACAATGTTAAAAAAATGTATTCCTACTCCATGTTTGCTTCAGGCCATGGGATTTATTTGAAGAAAACTCAATGTGGCACCCAAAAAAGTATTCAATATAGTATGAAATCATCCAACAGCAACTGTTCTTTATAGCAATTAGGCAGTAGTCAGTCTAGATAGTGATCGTTTTTATTTTGTTATTTAAACATATCATCTGGTGTTGTATTTTGTTTCCTTACCTTTCTTTCTTCTTCCTCAACAGGAAGGTATATTATGAAGGTATATTATTATGAATGTCACATGGATTGTCTTCAGATAGAGCTTTAGTGATAGCAGTGACAATAATCTGCAGGGTTGATGTGCAGGGGCTTTAAGTCATCAAACCTCACAAGAGGATTTCAACCAGTGCCCAGTATCTAGTTACAGAAAGCATGTCATTCAACCATGTGGCCGGAAAGAGTTATAGGGGAAAAGTGAAGCAAAAAACAACCTTCATTGAGTAACAATTTCCTCCTTCCCAAATTTAAATAGAACCTGTTCCTTTCTTTGTTGTTTTTTAAAAAAATATAAATGAGGGAATACATTTAAATCATTTCAAACTTTGCTATAGAAGCTGTCACTCTTGCAAGATGGTTGGTGAGACACAGCTTCTGAAAAATGTATACCAAGAGTCTTAAAATATAGACAAACCCTTAATTTCTTCCTTCAGTTGCTTCCATCTGTGGGGAGGATGTTGTCCACACACAGAGCAATTAGTAACGTCTGCTGGTAGCTGCAGTGCACATAGTACCCAGATTGCATAATGTGTAAAATAAGCAATGACTGCATGGTGACATGGTTTTGCTTTATTTTCTCCCCAAATAGCCCAATATCTAGCAAAGCTGTGAAAACATGAGCTGGAGATTTCATCATTCACCAAAGCAAAAATAATCTAAATCCTGTAAATTTATTTTGTTTTTTTATTTTGCTTTTTCTCCTTAACATGTGGTGTAAATACCATGTATATGTGAAATAGCTACACTGGGCCATATTATTTGGGTTTATAATTCTGGTGAGAGTTTTATTTCTTTTTTTTAATATGATGAAGACATATTGTAATCCTCTGAAATCTGTCTTATGTATTTTCAAAACACATCTTCCAAATCATTATGTTTCTAGCTTGTCGACCGGGTTTCTACAAAGCGTTGGCTGGTAACACGAAGTGCGCTAAGTGCCCACCCCACAGTTCCGCACACGAAGCTGGTTCAATGAACTGCAGGTGTGAGAATAATTACTTCCGAGCAGAAAAAGACCCTCCATCCATGGCTTGTACCCGTGAGTAGCTTTGCTGCAACCCATGCCTTGATGTTTGTTTTGCTTTGATTTTGCTGTTCATTCTTTTCCTTTTTTGACCCATTGCCTTCCTTTCTCCATGTGCAAATTGAAGCCTTTCTCTGCTCCAGGTTCCATGCTGGCCTCACCATAAATGTGACATTTCTCACGCAAAATGAATTCATTTTTAAAGTACTTCCTGCAATAAGACCTCTAGGAAAACAGACCTCTAAAAAATCTGTATCTTGTTTTAAATCTTGCATTACTTTTGACAGGATAAGGGAGGTTATAGGCCTGGGATTTATGGTTTTGCATTTCTATTCCCTATTGCTGTATGTTGGTCATAGGTTATAGGGGAAAAGGACCAAGATTTATAAAACTAATACCAAAGTTTTGATAACTATTCACAAGGGCATTGGATTTACTAGGAAAGGCCCTTGGGGGATTTTGTAAATACATCCTCAACCTTGACTCCAAACTGCTTCATTCATTTATTGGAGAGGAAAGTGCTCTTGAATCCATGTGTCTATAATCTCATAGGCCCTCAAAGGAGGACTTAAGACCAAATTATAAAGACAAGATGGTTATTTACCTTTTTTGCAGTTTCATTGTAAATTATCTGCTTCCCTTGTAGTAGAAAACAGAAGTGAGGCTCGTTAATCTTTGTTGGACTACTTTTCAGGACCTCCATCTGTACCAAGAAATGTTATCTCGAATATAAACGAGACCTCAGTTATCCTGGACTGGAGTTGGCCCCTGGACACAGGAGGCCGGAAAGATGTTACCTTCAACATCGTATGTAAAAAATGTGGGTGGAATGTAAAACCATGTGAGCCATGCCGCCCAAATGTGCGCTTCCTCCCTCGGCAGTTTGGACTCACCAACTCCACGGTGACTGTGACAGACCTCCTCGCACACACGAACTACACCTTTGAGATTGATGCCATTAACGGGGTGTCAGCTCTGAGCTCACCTCCAAGACAGTTTGCAGCAGTCAGCATCACAACTAATCAGGCGGGTGAGTACATGCTATGCTTCTGCCTCCTGCCTTATCAAAGTCGACTAATGGCTTTGAAAGAGATAGCTGAGACAAGGGGGGGGGGGTGGAATTTGCAAGAGCCCCAAATTTCCTCTTCTACAATTTTTCAATGGTTTTGGTACATTGAATAACTCAATGTAATTGTTTAGATGAAAACAAAGCATATTTGTTACATGGCTTTTAACTTGGCTTTGCTTCTTAGTTTGGAATCCTTCAAGCATCGGAGCTGTGTAATAGTATTAGTGATCCTCCTTAAAACATCTTTTGTTTTGTTTTCAAAGACCTCAACGGATATTTATTCTTAGCTTTAAAACATTTGTATAGGATTTTTAAAACTGTAAATATCTTTCTTTGAGTTATGATTGTATCTGATTTCTTAATATAATTATTCAATTAAGTTATACCCTGAAAATGTTTAACTGGGACTTGTATGTATCTTATTAAACACAAGAAAAACACATATTATTTAATAATTGTTGATTTATAGTTCTAAAATAATCAAATTTGGGGATTTATGGGGAACCATAAGGAAAAAAAAAACAATCTCTGCTGGCACAGTGGGTTCAGAATGGAAAGACAACCAGAAATGCCAGAGGTTCAAACCCATCTGCCACTCCATGCCAGCAAGTTTCAATGGTCAGTTCCATAAAGACTTCCATTCTCAGAAACCCTATAGAGACTCACAATTAATCAGAATTGACCATGGAAGTGGATTCTGGGTGTGGGGTTTATGAAGAGAAGAAGATTGGACGAGTTGGCATGGCTGACATAAAAGTTCCTGGTAGTAAGTGTTAGATTATGGTAGACAGTAGTTAGATGTTCAAAACCACCAGCTGCTGTGGGGGAAGGTGACCCTTTCTACTCCCCTACAGAGGGGCAGCCTCAGAAACCCCCAGGGACGGTTCGGTCTTTGCTGCAGGGTTGTTATGGGTTGAAATCAACACAGTGGCAGTGAGCTTGGTTTTGTTTTCATTTTTTTTTTGCTACTGAAAATTAGTTTTCGAATTAAAATTAAATATTCCTATACTGACAGTTCAGAAATAAGGGTCCTTTAACATAGAGTGGATGAGAAATGAAAAATGGGGGAAAAGAAGAGACACCCTGATAATGCTCTCTCTATAGAGAGAGAGTCTGGGTCCCTTTCCAGGTGAGGAATGGGTAGAAGCATGACTTCGGACAGCCATTCGGCTTACATTCTGGAACCCCCTCTGTTCTCTAGTGGTAATCACCCTTTGGTCTGGATGCTGGAGGGGGAAAATGTTATGACTCAATTCTCCCATCTGCTGGGCAAACACATATGTGTCTCTCAACAGCACAAAACATTTGTTTTTTAAATTGTATAGCTCAATAAAATTAATCTTGCCCAGGACATACAGTTCATATAATACAATTCATCTTCCCAAGGACATACAGTTCATGAATGTCACATGGTGGTGGTTACAGGTTATCAAGCAGTCCCACACACATAGTGACCCCCTACAGAACCGCAGGACACACTGCCTGGTTCTCACATGGCTGTTATTTGTGAGCCGACTGTTGGAGCCGATATGCCCATCCATCTTGTTGAGGGTCTTCCTCTTCTAATTGACCCTCAACTTTATTAAGCACGGTACCCTTTAGCAGGGACTGGTCTAATAACATGTCCAAAGACTTGAGATTGAGTACTCACCTTGCTTGCATCTCAGGAGCGTTCCAGCTGCACGTCCTCCAAGATATACATGTGCCCTCTGTCCACAGTATAGTCGATATTCTTCCCAACAACATATTTCTAAAGCAAATATTTGGTTACAGTATGATTTATGTATTACGCAGCTCTCTTGGACCTTGTGTGGGATAGAAAATTGGCTTCAATCAGGTGCACATCCAATAGAGGACATTCCTGCTCTTAAAGGCTTTGAAAAAGTTATTTTGTTTTGTTTTTGCAGAAGCAGCAGACTTACTTAGTGCAATTGGTCCTTGCCTTTCTGATTACTGTTTCTGTGAGTGTTAGTTGTGGATCCAAGTAAAACCTAGTAAGAGACCCAGCTCATATTTAGTGAGAATTCACTGGTCTGACTGCTGGCTGTTGAAATATTGAACTACTTCTATACATCAATGTGTCCAAGTGCCCCAATTATTCTCCTTAATCAGTATTTCATACCCATCTATGCTCCAGTGACTAGAGGTTTCAAACCTGATCTAAGATGATTTTCCAGAGCCTTCCCTAGCATTCTCCTGTAGACATTTGTGTTGGTGTCCTGCTGAGGTTTAGATATTGTGAATGTAACCTCTGGGAAAATCCTCACTCACGCATGGGTCATTCTGATTCTAGAACATTTTAAAAGCCCAATCCTATGTATGGGTGAAAATCATATACTTTCAAATTGTCTCTCATGCTGATGAATTAACATTTTTGTGTGGAAAAGGCATGACATTTAAATGAAGTATCGTAAGATTTTAATCTTGCTTACTGCATCTTCTGTTATGCACCCGACCGACCAGCATATGCTTTTGCTTTCATTCCGTTAATGAGAAGGATAGCTCCACTTTGTAACATGATATTTAAAATTTGAAAGTGAGGTTGATTTAACTGTATTCTATGATAAAAAAAGAGTAATGCTACTGCTTCATAACATAATTATAGTTTTTCATATTCAGTGAGCACAGGAATTTTAAGAAGTTATAAGGATGTGGCAAACGGCTTTCCTAAATCTTAGATTTCAAGCTGATTTGCTGCCATGTTTAAAATAGGAGCATCAATCTGTGTTATAATTATCTCTTAAGTCAAACAAAAATGTATTAAAACAAGCAAAAGCTCGCCGTCTCCTATCTTGTCGTTCCCCTCTGGCTTTCTGACAATTCATTTCTCAGGAAACTAATAGTTCCACATACACACAGTGAATGAATCTAGGTAAAGCGGCAACCACAAGGAGGCCAAGGCACTAAAAAATAAATGGGGTTGATGCTTTGGCCTTCCCAGTTACAAATCACAGGTTAAGACAGAGAGTCAGCAGGGATACTATCAGTTACTCTTTCTAGCCCCTCTCCTATTAAAGAAAAATAAAAGTCTGCTATATGCGCCATTGGGCATTTCATTTCTTTCTTTCAGGGTTGTCTGTCTGTATTTGTGTGTGTGTGCCTGGGGAGGGAAAGGCCTCTCTTGCACTTTGCAATCCCCAGGGTAAGATATATATAAGTGAGATTAGAAGCAGTGCCATTTCTGCAGGGAGGCTTTCTTTGTTTTGCTTTATTTTTGTTCTTGTGAAGGTTAATGGACTGGTAGCCTTGAAAAATGAGCTCCCTGCCACTGGGAAGATATGGTTGTGACAGATATGATGCCACAGTGTTTAAATTCCTCCCAGCCTCTCCATCTTCCGCAAGAATATAAAGGAAAACGTCCGTGTATCCCTTTTAGTTTAGTTTGTGAGATTGAGCGTGTTGATTTTTCTCTTGATTACGTTGCAAAAAGCTTTGCGATGACCACATGATAAGCCCAAGTTGTTGAGGATTAGGTTGTACCTTCAGATATTAACTCTCAGCTCCCAGTATGTTCACAAAGAATGTCAGTGAGATAAAAGGGTAGCATCTACCTAAAGATTGTATCGGTGCACCCATCACGCAAACATGGAGAGGCAAAATTGCAGACTGCAGAACAAAAGTCTACAACGTTATAACCTGACGCAAATCACTCTGCTGTTTTTGTTTGCTTGCTTGCTTTCATCCTTTCCCATTTATTTCTGAAGCAATCATTCCACGGGTAGAATGTGTCTCACCCTCTGTGATAATATTTCCCCCTCTACTATCCCACTGATAAGGAATCCTGGAGGCAGAGTGCTTCTGCATTGGGCTGCTAACAATAACATCAGGAGTTTGAAACCACCAGCTTCTCCCTGGGATAAAGATGGGGCTTTCCATTCCCCTGGAGATGACAGGCTCAGAAACCCCCAAGCACGGGTCTATCCTGTCCTGTAGGGTCGCTATGGGTCTGCATCGACTCAGTGGAGTTCAGTTTGTTTGGGGGGGGGCGGGTTGTGGTTTATCTCATTGGCTCTAAGGATCTAAAACTAAAATGGGAGGGAATTAGTAGACTCTTCGGAGACTTTGGCCTTTGAGTCCGTCTCTTTGCCCTTTTCAGCAGGAAAACGGAGAGATCCCAAGTAGATATGAGATGTTCCCACAATTTCATCAAGGGGATGAAACTGTCATTTGTGTCTTCCATCTTGAATTCCACTTTCAACTCCTTTTCACCTACTTTCTGTCATCATGTGATGCATGCCATGTAAGGACAAACAGTAATGCTTCTTAGGCGACAGTCAGGACCTTTTCTGGGGAAAACCGCTTTAACCTCTGCAGTTGACGCAGTAAACCTGGTTTCTGTGACTCAGCCATTCAGCACTGGATAGCTAAAGGTATCCTTCTGCAAGATTTTTTTTTTTTTTTCTCATCTCCACCCTTCCAACACTAACTCCCATCCTTCATGCCCTCCGTCTTCACTGAGGATTTCCCTCCTAACTTATTAAGGGTAACCTAGTTTCTGCCCTCACTCAAGTGTAAGCCCTGCCTGAGGATCAGAAATCATTTCCTATAGATTTTTCTTTAGGTTAAATTGAATGTCATTGTGAAGACAAATGTTATTTTGATGAGGACATGAATCTTGGATCAACTCTCATATTCAAATATCTAGGGTATAGAAAAGTGTCTTCTAGCACACTGTACCAACCAAACATTGGTTGGATGAATACGTAATCTGTTTCACAGACATTTCCAATGACCAGTAGTTGAAATATGTTCTCCGTCCAGAGATTTTTGCTTTCTCCTTCTTGTCTCTGTGCTCAGAGACCCCATTTTCACCAGGTTCACTACTTTGCCAGGTTCACACATTCAGAATGTTAGTTCATCTTCGACATTTAAGAGTTTCTCACATGCTACGGATTTTCCCTTTGAATTGTTATAAATCTTCAGAACTTCTCTACTCTACTCTACTCTGTAAAAAAAGATTT